TCTACGAGGGAGAAGTCCACTTTGACCGTCTTGAAGCTGTCCTCTCTACTGCTCGTGCAAACACCCCACCCTCCCACCCGCCACTTGGTCGCAAGACTTCTTAAGACAAGACCGTGACGGTAGGTACCACATGGCACTCGGCCACGACACCGACGCCGACGACGACAGCGACAACGACGACGACGGCGCCGCAGACACCGACTACGACGACACCGCCGACGTCGACGTCGACGAAGATGACGCCGACGCCGACGCCGACGACGACGACGAAGACGACGACGACGTCGCCAACGGAGACGACGACGAGGGAGGAGAAAAAACGACGACGGCGACAACGACGACAACGACGATGCAGGAGGGAAGACGGCGACGACGCGAACGACGAAGAAGGAGGAAGGACGGCGACACCGACGACGACAACGACGAGGGAGGAGGGAAGACGACGACGACGACAACGACGACGAAGACGACGACGACGGCGACGAAATAGGAGGGACGACGACGAGACGCCGACGGACGACGACGACGACGACGAGGGAGGAGGATAACGACGAGGGAGGAGTGAAGACCACGACGACGACGACGACGACGACGGCGACGAAATAGGAGGGACGACGACGAGACGCCGACGAAGACGACGAGGGAGGAAGGACGACCACGGCGACAACGACGACGGAAGCGACGACGACGCCAAGACGACGACGACGACGACGACGAGGAAAGACAGAAGACGACGGCGGCGACGACGACGACGACGACGACGAGGGAGGAGGGAGGACGACGACGACGACGACGACGCAAGAGCGTGCGCGCACGCTTTTGTTGAAAACCCGTGTTGCGAAACTTTGTGGTTTTTGTAGGTTTTTTGGACACGCGATTTTGGAATCCTTCCGAAACCGAAGGTTTTGAAAGGATTTCGGCATACGCGCGGGACTTCGCGCGTGTCTGCACTTCGTCCCGTTTTTTGCAGAGGATTCTCGCGACGGCACACGCGCAAGGGCGTTCGACAGATTTCGGCATGCGCGCGCGAAGCCCGTTTGGTAGCATTTTGTGAAAATCTTGAAAAACCTATGGTTTTTTTTTAAGATTTCGCAAGGGCTCGCGCGTAAGCTTTTTTAGCAAATCAGTGTTGCGAAACCCTGTGTTTTTGTATGTTTTTTTGGAAATCCAATTTTGAAATCTCTCCGGAACCGAAGGTTTTTGAAGGATTTCGGCATGCGCGCGCGACGACGCGCGCGTGTGCACTTCGTCTTTTTTTTGCAAGGGGTTCGCGAAACAGTCTTATGTTAGAGCAATCAATGTCACCGCATAGTTTTTTCTTTTGAAAGGGAACTTCAGGGGGGGAACTCGGTTTGGCTGGGATGGTATGATTTCATATTTAGGATGGACGAGTGTGCAGAATACATATATATATATATATATATATAAATCATATTATCCCGGGGGGATATCCCGGGGGGAACCGATAAGTCCGGGGGGGGGAGGGGGGTAGAATCTATTAATCTTTTAGAGACGGGGTTGTGCCGTTCGGACCAGCCCGTAGTCGCGCGTGTTGGTCGCGCCATTCGGGTGTTGTCGGACTGCGCGACGGCTGCGCGGCGATCCACGGTGCCGCGCCGCTGGAGCAACGCCCCACCACTCCGCGGACGAGTTTGCAGGGGGCCGTGGGGGAGGGCGACGCCGACGCCGATGGGGCGTCCTCCCCTCCCTGTCCGAGCGGCGCCGCTGCCGGCGGCGCCTCCACCTCCGCCGCGGGCCCGTCTCGGCGATTCGCCGAAGCCTGGGGCGAGCGAGGCCCGCTGCGCGGGGGGGGCGATCGCCGCCGCCCAGGGCGAAGGTGTGCCTGTGGCCCGCGCGGAGGTCCAGCTGGAGATCCAGCGGCTGATGGCCGCGATGGGGCGCGCACGAGCGCGCTGGGGGCCCGCGTCGAGGCGCCTCGGCTGTTCGCGGACGCGGCGGCGCGCGTTGGCATCCCTCGGGGGGGCCTGCAGGCGAGGCCAGCGCTGTCGCTGCCCCCGCCGCGGCGCGTCCAGAGCCGCGCCCCGACGCCCGCGTCGGCGTTGGCGACGGCGGGGGGGGGGAGAGGGTGCCCGTGAGCGCACGTCTGCCTCATCCGCCGCCCCTGGCGCCGCTGCTGTTTCCTGCCCCCCCGGGCCTAGCTGCGCCCGGCGGGGTCGGCGACTGCGTCGGGGAGGGCGCCGCAGGGGGCGGGCCTCGCCCAGGCAGCACCTCAGAGTCCACTTTGGAACTGGCGCTGCTGTGCCCGCGGCAGTTCCCCCGGCGGTCGGGGCAGCCCAAGGCGGCGACGGGCCGTCCGCGGTCGCCCCCGTGGCCATGTTCCAGTATTTTCGCGAGCGCAGCTCGCTGGGGGCACGCCTGGCGACGCGTATGGCGCTCGCCCACTTCGCGCGACTGAGCGCGGAGCTGTGGCGCGCGTCCGCACGCGGGGGCGCAGACAGGGTGGGGGCCCTGATCAGCTGGCAGCGCATGTTCCCGGGCCAGCTGGCAGGGGGCCGCGGATGCATGGAAGCCGCGTAGTTCCAGACAGGGCTCGAGGCGCCCCCGGTGCAGGTGGCGCGTGTCCACGCGGAGAGGGGGGCCCAGCTGCCGTTCTCTCCGCTCGAGGATTTTCCGCTGGCTGTCTGCGCAGTTCGACTGCGTGAAGGAGATGGCGTCTTTCGTTCTCGTCTCGATGCCGAGCTGGCGGGGCATGCGAAGTTCCCCCGGCGGTCGAGTCGGAGACCCCGCCCAAGGCACAGCCTAAGGGTGGGAAGTCGTCTTCGAAAAAGGCCACCCAAACAAGGCCAGTGGGACCGGAGGGGGGCTCTGGATTTTGCGCGCGGTGGCCGAGGGCTGCGGTCGCGGCGAGCCAATCTTTTTCGGCGACTTTGCGACCGCCGATCGTGCCTGGGCTAAACGGGGCCGTGGCCGTGGGAATGTGCCACTCCAGCGATGCTGTTGCGGCCTCGCAGGGAGATGCGCGTTCCGCGGCCGCGGCCCGCGTTCCGCCCTGGCCCCCCGTCATGCCCCGACGGAACTGGTGGTTCTTCCTTGCTCTGGCGGTGCGGACTCTGGTTCGCCCGCCGCTTGCGCCGCTGCTAGGGTCGCGCCCTCCGTCGCTGACCTCGCTGCCTTGCTGCGCCTCTTCCTCGGCGTGAATGTCGATGTCACCCGCTGGGCCGCTGCGTTGGCCCAGGTGGGGCAGGGTGCGCGATGTTTTCTTGCTTCTTTCTCCCGCCCATCCCTGCGCGCCCCGGCTCGGGGCGCTCGTCCTTCCTCTCCCGCGATCCTTGGCCGCGCCCCCCGGCCCCCGCTCTCGAGCCTCCCGCGTAGTCGTCGACGTGTCGCTCTCGCGAGCGCGGGCGGCTGAAGCGCGCCGTGCGCGCTATCGCAGCGCACTGTGACTGCGCCTGATTGGCTGACTCCTGGGAAGCCTGGCCTCGCGCGCGCGCAGCGGTCTCTCCCCGTGCCGGGGCAGCGCGCGGAACCGCGTCGAGCGTCTCTGCCTGATCGCAGTCCGCTTTGCCCGAGGGGGCAAAAGCGCTTTTGGGCGGGCTCTCGCGGAGTTCGACGCCGCCGAGGTCTCGCTCCATGGTCTGGCCGCCCATGTTGCATTTCTTGAGACTTCCTCCTCCTCCTCCTCCTCCTCCTCCTCCTCCTCCTCCTCCTCCTCCTCCTCCCTCGTGCCCGCCTCCGTGCGGGCTTGCCTGTGCAGCGCGCCCGTTGCTGGTTCGCTGGCTTCTGCGGCGGCCTGGGGTTCCTCCCACGCCGAGCCTTTTAACCTTGATGTCAGGGCGTCCTGCAGCAGGTGGGGTTATTCGCCTTCGTTTGATCCCGCCACCTTCCTCTCCGACTCTCGGGCCCGCGCTGACTTTCTGGACCTCGAACCTCGAGGTCATGCGCTTTCCTCGTGGGGGGTGGCCTGAGGGGCTTCGGGGCGCTCGGGTACATGTGGCTCGTGCCGAGCTGTGGGGGGCTTCTGCGGAAGCGGGGCTCCCGCGGCGCTCTATGTCAGATTCCCTCCTCGGACCTCGCCCGGGGCGAGGCGCGCGGAGCTTTCGGGCCCCCCAAGAGGACGACGATTTCGATCATCTGATCCTCAATCCCACGGTGGTAAACAGCCGCTGTCAGAGCATGTCCTCCAGCGCCCAACGCCTTGGCCAGGGCTTCCTGCTTTGCAGCGTGAGCTGGCTCCTGGTGAGCGGCTGGCTGCGTTGTGCGATGCTCTGCGCGGGCTCCAGTCCGCCTTTAAAGGTGCCGCCGATGCGGGCCGTCGGCCAGGCGGAATGCGTTGCGAATGCGGCTCCATGCGGACCGCTTCAAGTCGTTCGCGACCCGAGCTGGAGGGGCTCGATGTGTCCCCGCGCCTGAATGCGCTCGCGATGGGCGACGGCATGGCGGTTGAGATCGCCAATTCCGCTCATGAGGGTTCGTTGCGCAGTTTCGTGGCTCTCCGCCCGGAGGAGCAAGCTGTGCGTCGCGCCCCTGTTCCGCGTGGTCCATTTGTCGAGATGCTTGATATCGACGACCGCGCGGGCTTCCATTATTCCTCCTGGACAGGTGGCGCCCCACGTCCTGATGACCCGTCTCGGCGCGACCAGGTGGTCTTTGCCGCCTGTGGCCGTGGGTATCCCAGCGTGGGCCTCGTCCAGCATCCTGGAAAGCGGGCCCGTGGTGCGGCCCACAGGGTCGTCGTTGGCGCCGGGTGGAAGGTGGGGTTGGTATTGTCTGCGCCCCGCTCGTTCGGGCGGTGGCTTTGTGCAGGCTCACGCTGATCCAAGTGTGCATCGGTCGTTCGACGCGCGCCGTGTTGGCGTCGCTGGTGGGGTGTTGGGTGCAGGTTCCTGTATCGCCGACCTTTGCTGTCGGTGTTCTCCCATGCCTGCGCCTTCCTATCTGCTCGAGATAAGGGGCCGGCGCGGAGTATCGGCTGCCCATCTCCGTGCGTGACGAGCTCCTGGCTGGCGCGTTTTTGGCTTCCCCGGCCGCGGCCGACTTTCGCGCCTCTCGGCGGAGCTACGGCCCAGGTCCGACCGCGGCAGTGGCGCGCTGCGTTGCGCGATCGCCGACTGCTTGCCGTATTGAGTCGCGGGTGCCCTCACTGCTGCGAAGTTTTAGGACGAATGTATGCGGCGGTGGAACCAAATGCGCATTTTTGAAAGCCGCCCGCCTTCCATCCGTGAAGCTGCTGCAACTCGCACGCTTCAGGATCAGAAGTGATGTGGGGATCTTTGGCGAAACGCCCGGCCCGCCCTACCGACACGTATGGGGGTACGAAAAGAGGACATGACGCTGCCGCACGCCCTGTGGTAGTATAAAGAGCCGCTGCTGTTGCAGACGCCCCCACACCCCAGGGTAGGAGTTTCCCCTTGCTCGGACCCCCTCTCAGGAGGGTCCCCCGTCCAGCCTCCAGCTCTTCTCTCCTCCTAATTTCCGCCGTGTGGGGGTATGCCCCCTTGATCGTCGGTTGGTTGGGAGAGCAAAGCTGCGTCCATCGATGATTCCGAAGCCTAGAGGAGGAAACGGATGAGGAGGAATCCATCGAGGATCGTAGGAGGACGAAGGACGAGGAGGAGGCCCTCCTCCTCCTCCTCCTCCTCCTCCTCCTTCCCCTCAAAAGGAGGCGGAGGAGGAGGGGAACCATCTTTCGCTATGTCCTCGTTCCTTTTCCGCTGCCTGTTTTCGTTTACCTGATCAGGAGCAAGAGAGTTGCCAGGGGTGGAAGGTTTCGACGGAATCGGTCACCAGACGAAACCGCGTTGGCGTCAGGAAGACATGGGCGGGAGGAGGATGAGGACAATATCAGGAGTAGGAACAGGCTTAACCCCTGACCTTTGGGACGTCCTCGTCAGGAGGAAGAGGAGGATGGTGAGAAGAAGGAGGGGTGCCATGTTTTGCTGTGTCGTCGTTCCTTCTTCCCCCCCTCCACAGGAGGAGGAACAGGCGTAACCCCTATATGATGCCGATGCGAAGTTCGAGGATGATGCTGACGACGATGGCAGCAACGACGATGTCGATATTGATGCCCATGCTGATGTTGATGATGGTGGTGGTGGTGGTGATGATGCTGCTGATGATGATGCTGATGATGATGAGGAGGAAGAGGAATATTATGATTAGGATGAGGGATGATCATGGTGATGGCGATGGTGATGGCGATGGGGATGGCGTTGCTTCTGGTGATGTTGTTTGTGATGATGCGGATGATTATGGTGGTGGTGGTGGATGATGCTGCTGCTGCTGCTGCTGCTGATGATGATGATGATGATGATGATGATGATGATGATGATCGTGGTGGTGGCCGTGTTGCTGATGATAAAGATGGTGATGATGGTGGTGGTGATGATGATGATTTTGCTGCTGGTGATGACGATGATGCTGGAGGAAAAGCAGGATGATTTGATTGGAAGGCGTGCAATGGAAGAGGTGGCCCCAGCCGCCTTCAGGTCGGGCTGTGCAACCGGGGCAGCGAGTGTACGTTCGCACACGGCAAGGACGCCGCTCTCTCCCCGCGCCCCTGGGCGCGAGGGGGCAGCCCATGGGGCGCCGTCGCCAGACGTCCCCCCGTCGTGGAAGAGTCGCCACGGGCGGGGTCCCAGCCCTCCCAGGTGCGTGGGCTGCTTCCCTCGGGGCCCCCGTAGTGGCCCCTGGCCCGTGGTCTCTGGTCGTCCTGGCCCGGGGTCTCTGGTCCTCTGGCGGCCGGCGGTGTGTGGCCGTGGCCCGCGGTGTCTGGTCGTACAGTCAACCCGCACGGGTAGGGACGGGCAACCCTCCCAGGTGGTACCCCTGAGTCGGGCATGTCCCTCCACACGAGGAAGATTCAAGGATAGCAGAAAAAATAGCCAGCGGACGATTTTCCTACCATTTTTTACGATTCCTGATTCTTGTGGGGTACTTTTTATTTGCTGTCCAAAGTCCGCCTGTAGGGGGACATGCCCGACCTAAGGGTACCCTTGCATCCTTGCCCCTTCGGTCCGTCCTCGGCGATTTGCACTGGCCGGCCTCGCTCGAGAGACGTCAAGTTGGCCCTCCGAGGTCCCTGCATCCTTGCCGCGCATCCTTGCGATACGGGCCTACTGTAGTCTCGGGTCGTGGCCCGTGGTCTCTGGGCTCCAGTACAGTATACCGAAGTGATTCTAAGCTCCTCCTCCTCCTTCTCCTTCTCCTTCTCCTCTGCTTCCTCCTCCTCCTTCTCCTCCTCTTCTTCCTCCTCCTGCTCCCTCCTCTTCCTCCTCCTCCTCCTCCTTCTCCTCCTCCTCCTCCTCCTCCTCCTCCTCCTCCTCCTCCTCCTCCCCCTCCCCCTCGGGCAGCTGCTGCGGGTCTGCTGCCGCCACGGGTGTACTCTGTACGGCGCGTGCGCCCCCGGGCAGCTCGAAGCTCCCGGGTACTCGGGCAGGGGCACGGGGCCAGCGCGGCGCCTCGCCACGTGGCGCCCGGCGCCCTGTCGGCCCAGTGCCGTGTCCTGATTCAGAGCGCGGGGGTTGCCACTGGAAGGAGGATGGAGAAGGAGGAGGAGGAGGAGGAGGAGGAGGAGGAGGAGGAGGAGGAGGGGGAGGAGGAGGAGGAGGAGGGGGAGGAGGAGGAGGAGGGGAGGACGAGGAGGAGGAGGGGGAGGAGGAGGAGGAGGAGGAGGAGGAGGAGGAGGAGGAGGAGGAGGATGGAGGAGGAGGAGGAGGAGGAGGAGGAGGAGGAGAAGCACGGCGGCAGTTCCTCTGGAATGCCACCGGAAGAAACCGGAAACCGTCGTAGCAGCAGCACACGGCGGCAGTTCCTCTGGAATGCCACCGGAAGAAACCGGAAACCGTCGTAGCAGCAGCACCTGTTGATCGCCCGGCCCAGCGCACTTCGAGCCTACCCCGGCTGTCCCTCGAGGAGAGCGTTTCTTTATTGCCTGGGGCCTGACGGGCGTCATGGCCCCCGCCCTCCACCCTATCCCCGTCCCCAGTGCGCTCCAGACATTGCCGCCGTGCGCATCGGGATCCGCATAGGTGTGCACAGGAATCCGCATAGGAGTCTGGTCCGCAGTCGTCGTCATCGTCGTCGTTGTCGTCGTCGTCGTCGTCGTCGTCGTCGTGCTCGTCGTTCGTCGCTCGTCGCTCATCGTCGTTGTGCGCGCGGACGCAGCTGGCTCCATTTTTTGTTTTTAAATTCAAAAACATATACTTTCCGATGACGTCACGATTCGTGCCGGCGGAGTCTGGTAATGCTTAGGAATGACCGATGACGGGTAGCAGCAGCATGTAGGTGGTGATCTGCACCACAACGCCTGTGTAAACCACAGTTCCTGCGTGCACCACAGCGTCTGTGTACACCACACCGCCAATCTACACCACAGCAGTCGCGTGCAACACATCGCCAGTGTGTGCCACAGTGCCTGCGGGCACCACAGCGCTTGTGTGCACCACAGCGCCTGCGTGCACCACATCAGCCGCGTGCAACACAATATTAGTGTACACCGTCATGCTGCATGCGCTACAGCGCCTGTGTACACCATGGCGCCTGTGTGCTGCACAGCAGCCGTGCGCAACAGAGCACCACTGTTGCAACTATAATTTTAAAAGGAATCCTTCTGACCAAATGGAGCACCTGTGGATTCCAGAGACAAGTTTATTTTATCTAGGAATCGAAGGAATCCTCATGGAAAAATAAGCGCTGCCGAAGTGTACGAGTCTTGCCGAGTCCGCCCGAATCATCCCAACTCCTCCCATCTGCGTCCTCTGGGGGCTCTGGGGGCTCTGGGGCCATGTTGTGGCCCTCTTAGAGCGTGTTTCTTTATTGCTTGGGGCATAATGGGCATTATAGCCCCCTCCCCCCCCCTCCCCCCCCCCTATAGCGTAACGCCCCTTCTCTCCCAGTGCGCACCTGGCACTGCCGCCGTGCGCACGGCCGGGGGGAGGCGTTACATTATACCCCCCCCTGGCCCCTCACCCCCCCAGTATAATGCCAATTATCGCCGAATATAAAGAAACGCGATCTTGGGGCTTTTCGGAGGTATGTCGGAGGTTGTCTTGAGCCATCTTTGGCTATCCTCAACCATCTTGAAAGCCTTGTTGGGGCATCGGGGGCCCTGTTGGGGCCATCCGGTGCCAACAGGGCCCACGCCTCAGCGGGGGAGAGATAATCCCGTCCCCGAAGAGGGGAATGATGGTTCGTTGTGGAAGAGGGAAGGGGAAGAGCAAACCTGCAATATAATCTTCACCCAGAGGGCGGTTGGGAGTATGAGGAACATGGCCACATGTGGTAATGTCCAAAACGCATGGTCATTGGAGGGTGACGTTTGTTTTCAGGGGGCTCCCCTCACGCGAAATTCGTATGCAATGATGAACTCGCTGCCGACCGCAGTACTTGTAGAATTGCTGCTGCAGCATAGCGAACAAGGAGAGGAAGTATCCCAGCAAAGCATCCTCATAAAGGGATGATGAGGTGCTCCTGAGAGGGTGCTGGGAGGGTCCCGAAAGAGGGTCTTGATCAGCTCTTCAGAAATTAATGAGAGGCCCATGAGAGGCTACTTTTGGCATTTCGCGTATCCCCGCCAGCCCATCCAGCATCGATTTCCGATTTCCAGGCGACTCGCATTGATCCGGGACGTGTGGGAGCACGCAGTGGAACGAAACTGGAGGTTAGCCGTCAAACCGAAGATCGGGATCTGCCTGAGCAGGCCCAGGAGTCATCCATAAATGCCTTTGTGGATCTTTTGATACGGGATCCTTTTGGCCGCTCACCTGGGCCATCTTGGGTCCATCTTGAAGGCCTTTGCATTCTGTTAGGGGCCCCCTTCGAGCCATCTTGGGGCCTTCTTGGCGGCGCTCTTGGGGCCATCTTGAAGGACGTCGACCAAAGAAGATGGGCTGATCAGTTAGCCCCGCCCCCCTAGAGCCCGCGCTCTTGGGACGCCATTGGGCACTCTTGGAGCCGTCTTGCGGCCCTCTTGGGCCTCTCTTGGGGCCCTTTTGGGTTATTTTCGAGCCATTTTGAATCTTGAGGCCTGCGAAACCAATCGGAAGCGAACCAGCGAGAAGGCACACGTCACTTGCTTTCCTTCTGTTTAGGAACGACTTGAGCCTCTTGGGGGCCGCCTTGGGATGCTCCGTGGTTATTTGGAGCCGTTTTGTAGGAGCGGTTTTGGGGCCTCTTGGAGGCACAGTGGTGGCCATCTTGAGCCATCTTGGGATATCTGCATGCAGCAATCATGGAGGCCATCTTGGGCCCTCTGAGGCCATCTCGGAGCCATGTTCGCCCAACAGCTTCCTAATGATGAGCCCGAGAGGCCGACATCCTTGACAACCCACTGTTTTTCAAGGGTTTTGGCCTCGAGCGAATGGGGGGTCCCCAGCTTGCCCGCCCCCTTTCTGGAGCCCGAGCTATCGCCACCCTGGGCTCCCCGTGGGTTCCTCTTGGGCTCCTCTTGGGTTCCTCTTGGGTTCCTCTTGGGTTCCTCTTGGGTTCCTCTTGGGTTCCTCTTGGGTTCCTCCTGGGTTCCTCTTGGGTTTCTCTTGGGTTCCTCTTGGGTTCCTCTTGGGTTCCTCTTGGGTTCCTCTTGGGTTCCTCTTGGGGCGCTCTTGGGGCGCTCTTGGCCTCCGTCTTGAGGCCTCAGGAGTCCGTCGGAAGCGAGAGCGCGAGGTGGCAGCGACCATCGATTTCCTTAGGTGTTGCACGCATTTTGGCCTCTTTGGGTGCATTCTTGGGAGGCTCCGTGGCTACTTGAGGCCGTCTTGGAGCAGGCTTCGGGCCTCCTAGAGGCATCTTGGAGGCAGTCTTGACCCGTATAAGATGATCTTAAGCCATCTTCGAGGCCATCTTGCGCTCTCCTGGGCCATTTTGCGGCCATCTTGGGCCATCCTGGACGCTCCAGCGAACCGCGGGGCGCCCCGTCCAGACCCAGCCGAAGGGGACGGGCATGGGTCAAGGCACCTCTTCCAGGCGCAAACTGTTCTGCTTACTCCTGACCCGCCCTCCCAAAACAAGAGTCTCAGGAAAGTACGTTCGCGTCGTGTCGACCGGCGGCGACTCCGCCGCGGGCGTTCAAGGTTGACCGCCGCCAGTGGCCCAGAATCGGCCTATACGGAACGATCGGGCGATCGAGAAGCCGCCGACCGTTCAAGGTTGAACGATCCACGCGGTGTCAGAAACCAACGCCGGGGTCGTCACGACACGAACCTGCCATATATTCAGCGATGGTCTTTGGATGGGCAGCTACGTGGAGCCAATACAGACCCCATGCGCGCGACGCGCACCAGATGCGCCAGGGCTCATGAGAGGCTCTTCAGGGGCTGCTGAAAGGCTCGTGAGAGGATCCTGAGATGCAGTTAGCAGGGTCCTGAGAGGCCTTGATAGACTCCTGATTGCCAATTGGGCTTGTGAGATGCGCCTGAGAAGCTCCTGAAAGCTAGTGGGAGTTTCCCGAGATGCTCATGAGACACTCTTGACGGGCTCCGATTGTGGAGCATCTGTTGTTGCTAGTTCATGTTAGTTGAAAGTTCCATTTTGTAAGCTGAGCCGTAGGGCGGATTTCGGAACGATGTTGGCAGGGCCGTCCCATAGGCATACTACTCGATGTAGACACACACACACACACCGCGACGACGCTGCGCAGTGGGCCGCCTGGACCCTTGGGTATATTCTGGATCACTTCCTCGAGGTACAGCGGAGGCCCACGCCAAGAAACACACTGCTTGCCTCCAGGGTGCCCTGGGTTTCTTGGATTTCGATGGTTTTACTACGGGAAGCGTGTCGTTCTCAAAGCAAAAACCAATGGACATCCTGGGGTCTCAGGGTTAGGTTTCTCGTGGAAGGTTTCTTATGGTTCGGCCTCCACTGTATCCGAAGCCCAAAGCGAGAAGCTGCGTGACTGTGGTGCGGCCCGTAGCAGGACTGAGAGCATGCCTGCCTCACAGGCTTGGCACCCCTACCCGAGGAGGGGCGCGGCTGCACACCAAGAGCGAGGAGTTCTCTGGGAGCAGCAGCCCACTGACAGCCTGGTGGCTCCAGAGTGGCCAGCAGACTTATGCTTCGTTGGTGCCAACGGGCCATTGCGAGCAGCCGACCCGTCAAACCGTACCTCGGGCAATGTGCTGAATCCGAGAGGCAGGGGGGGGTGGAAGCGTAGAGTAGGACCCAGTTTGCGCCGCGAGAAGCGGGCCCGTCAGGCTAGATGCCTCACCCAGGGGGTATATAGACACGCATGCTGGGGTAAGCAACAGGTCCGGATGCCGCTACTCCGGGCCTCTTCCGGGCCCGGGTGCGTTCTGACCAGAATTTCGAGGCGAATCCAGCGGTGGCGACGAGGGCCTCCCAGGAGGTCGAAGAAGGGGAAAACGGCCGAAGGGTAGCGGTATGGGTTCTTTTTCCTCCTCCGGCATGCACCCATCACCTCCCCATCGGTGTGCGATTCCTCTCGGATCCCGTGCCGTGCCCTGCTGCCGCAGGACGAGCTCCGGCCCGTCCCGGACCTCTTCAAGACGAAGATGTGCCCGGCGGTCGTGCGAAGAGAGCGGTGCGAGGCCCCTCCCATGCCGCGCTCCGCTTGGTGCGCTGGCTTCAGAGCGGTGTTCGCAAGAGTTCGGAGGTAGGGTTACGTCGGGCCGGTCCCTCTGCAGGACGAGCATTCGAGAATGGTCAACAGAAAGTCTGGGGACGATGTTGTTCTTTTGTATATAAAGAATAAGTTATAATTGGACTACTTCGAATGTGTCCTCCAAAATCAGCCTGGAGGAGGACATGCCCGACCTGAAGGTAGGGACCAAAGTGGAGACCCATGCCAGGAAACACCCTGCTTGCCTCCAGGGTGCCCTCGGTTTCTTGGGTTTCAATGGTTTTTTTTGCGATAGAAAGCGCGACGTTCCCACCCCCAAAAATGAATGGACGTCCTAGGGTCTCAGGGTTGGGCTTCTTGTGGAAGGTTTCTTGTGGTCAGGCCCGTGCTGTATAAAGCAGAGAACATGAGGAAAATAATCGAAGGAGAGAAAGGATCTGTCGGCGGCGGGCGAGGGGGGGAAGTGAGCAGGAGAAGGCCTTCTCAGAGGGCGGCGGGACTTCTCAGAAGCCCTCGCGCCTTCTGAGAAGTTTTCCATGCCTTCTGGCTCAGAAGGAACACTTCCCGGAAGGCCGGGGGGACTTCCGAGTCTTCTCAGAAGGCCCGCCCCTTCTGAAGTTCTCGCTTCCCCCCTGGGCTCGCCGCCGAACCTCAGGGTGCCAAAATCGCAGAGCGGATTTCGCCCGGAGGGCGATAGGATAGGCCCAGAGTGCCCTGGAGAATTTCGTTCCAGATTTCGAGGTTAATTTCGTGCGGTTGGCCAGGAATGAAGGCTAAACAAAAATCCACGCGAAATTCGCTTCGTGTGTTTCGCTCGCCGCTTCGGGGTTTTGCATGGACAAAAATCCACGCGAAGATCCGCTGCAGCACGTCTGCAAGGTCGGTGCAGTGACCATTCTGTGCTGTCTGTCACCACCTTCCCGTTGGCGGCTGGGCGTCGGCGCTAATCACCAGCCCCGCCGCCGTTGATTTTCAATCTGGCGGGTGCCACCCCGCGATTCGCCTGAGCAGGGAAACTATTTTGTTGAAACTCGCGCCACCCCCCGCGAAAGCGTTGACCTTCAGAGGTCCGCGTGGCTTTCTCGGATCGGCGCTGGGGCCCCCCCCTGGCGGCGCCTCGGGCTCGAGCTGGAAGCTCTCCTCCCTGGCGGGCTCGGCAAGCCAGGAGGGGGCTCAGCGTCGATCAGCAAAAGTGCGCGTGGACATGCGAAAGCCAATGACTATCCGGACTTAGCTCCTCCTCCTCCTCCTCCTCCTCCTCCTCCTCTTCCTCCTCCTCCTCCTCCTCCTCCTCCTCCTCCTCCTCCTCCTCCTCCCCCCTCCTCCCCCTCCCCCTCCCCCTCCTCCTCCTCCTCCTCCTCCTCCTCCTCCTCCTCCTCCCCTCCTCCCCGTCCTCCGCTTCCTCCTTTTCCTCCTCGTCCTCCTCCCCCTTCTCCTCTCCTCCTCCTCCTGCTCTCCTCCTCCTCCTCCTCTTCCTCCTCCTCCTCCTCCTCCTCCTCATTCCTCCTCCTCCTCCTCCTCCTCCACCTCCTCCTCCTCCTCCTCCTCCTCCTCACGGTGTGTCAAGCTTCGGGTGAGTGCCCCTTTGAGGAGGAGGACGAGGACCAGTGTGAGCCCAAGATGGATCGGCGATGTCGCAGTAAACTTTCCCTCCAGAGGAGGGGCAACACATACACATAAACTTTTGGCGCTCCGCACGGATTTCGTGGATCCGCGTTGGACCCCCCTTGCGCGCCCATTGCAGTGCCTGCGGCGCCGCCCCTGGCTCGCTCCACGCGCCAGGGAGGAACGCCAACAATTTATGTTTATGTAGTTTTTTCTTCTAGCCTCCAAGTTCCATTCTCATGGGCCTCTACGAGAATTTATTGTCATCCCCCACATGCTGAACGGGCTTCTTGTTTTTCCTAGAGCACCCTTTCCTTCTTCCCTCCTCCTCTCAAGCTCCTCCTCCTCCTCGCCCTCCTCCCCATGCAAGATCCACGCCCCCTCCTGAGAGCTCCACATTCCCTTCTTGCAAGCTATACTCTTCCACCAGCTCCTCGGGTACTACATTCTTTCATCGCTTCGCTCATTGCGCCGTCCCGAATTGCCTCGCCGCTGTCGTTTGTCGGGGTGTTCTTGTCAACGCGGTGCCGTTGGGCGGCGTCCATTTTTCGGAGGCGGCGGGTGGTGGGTCAGAGGCCTCATGGATGTTGGTTGGGCTCTCGTGGTTGGCTTCTTGGGGGCCTCTTCGGCGCCGTGTTGGGGCCTCTTGGGGCCTCTCGGGGGCCTCTTGGGGCTTCTTTGGATGCCTCTTCGGAGGCCCTTGGGGCCTCTGGGGGGAAATACTGTTAACCTGTTACCGGAGATCTTAGCACGCCTCTGGCCCGTTGGGCCGGCGAATTTACCAGGGATCGTGCCCTCCGCCCTCCACCAGCCTCATCAAACCACATTTTCTACCTCCAGGGGGGCCGTGTCGGACTGCGCAGGCTGTGCGAAACCTGTGTTATTCCTAACCATCCTGTGGTGTTGGGTCCTGTTTTGAAGAGACAACGCCACGCGTCACCTTCCGCTCTCCCCCTCCCTCCTTCCTTGCCTCATGACTCATGAGTATGCGTCTCCCACGCCCAGTACAGCGTTTTGTGGCCTCATAGGGAGCTCCACCGAAGGCCCCAGTGGCTGGACTAGCATGCGTCTCCCCCGCCCAGTACAGCGTTTCGTGGCCCCACGGGGAGCTCCACCGAAGGTCCCCGTGGCGGTGTTCGCATGCGCTCCCCTCCCCACACAGAGTACAGCGTTTCGTGGCCCCATATGGAGCTCCATCGAAGGTTCCAGTGGCGGTGTTCGCATGCGCTTCCACCCCCCCGCACACAGCGCAGCGTTTGGTGGCCCCATATGGCGCTCCACCGAAGCCCCAGTGGCGGTGTCCGCATGCGTTTCCCCCGCCCAGTACAGCACCCCGTGGCCCCATAGGGAGCTCCACCGAAGGTCTCAGTGGCTGCGCCCTCGCCTTGAGTCCTTCCAAAACATCCTGTCTGGTACTCTGACAATGGCAACCCACGAAACTCTTGCAATTGGTTTCAACACGTTTGCGCGGCGCTAAGGCGAGAACCACATTTTGAAAATCAGCCGCCCTCAATCCGTGAAGCCTTGTAAACTTTGAAAACCACAATTTGAAAACCGCCCGCCCTATATCAGTGAAACTACTTTTGCAATTTTGAAAAAGAAAGTGCGCGGCGCTAAGGCGAGAACCACATTTTGAAAACCACCCGTGAAACTGATGCCAACTTTCAAGCTTCTGGGTCATAAATGGTGAGGAAGTCTCAGGCGAAACGCACAGCCCGCCCTTTCGACTGGCCTCGGTGTGGTGGAGGAGGAGGAGGAGGATGATGAGGAGGAGGATGAGGAGGAGGAGGAGGGGGAAGGGGAGGAGGAGGAGGAGGAGGAGGAGGATTTTTCCTTGGAGGAGCGCGAGGGCGCGGCGAAGGGCGACCGCTCTGACACCAGCAGCAGCTGTGCAAGCCGGGAGGGGGCCAGGCCCGGGCCGGTGGCGACCCCGGCGGGAGGCGTTGACCAGCCTGCCCACTGTCTTGGCGGTTAGGCGCCTGAAAAGAGCGCAGGAAAGCAACTTCACAGTGACGATTTTTGAGGGATGCGCGTGAGGAGGGGTGTGGGCGGTCCTAGAAAGCTCAAACACCTTCCCACACAGCATGCTCCTTGGGCATTCCAACACGCCCACTCCGTGCAGGCCCTGTGGCGGATATGGTGAGTCATTCCAGAGCCCTATTTGGGTTGCGGGTGTCTTCGAGATCCGTGTATTCATTTACACGGGCGCGCGGGGGAAGGTTGAGGCCTCTTTGCTATGTCTTCGTTCGATATCTCGAATCGGCTGCGGAATGACGAATCGTTCGAATCGTAATAGAAGGAAGATCAGGAGCAGGAGGAGGATGACGAGGGTCGGGAGGAGGGCGACACTGAATCGAAGACGCCTACGCCGAATCACCGCCGCCCCCTGCCCTTTCGGAAGCGCCTATGTGGCTGAACGTTGTGGCCAGATGCCTGCCAATCTATCGGGCCATGTGTTCCCCGGATCGGTTTGGAAAGCCTTCGGGGAACACGTGGGGGAGCACGAGGAGGAGGGGGAGGAGGAGGAGAACAGAGGAGGAGGAGGAGGATGAGGAGGAGGAGGAGGAGGAAGAGGAGGAGGAGGCCTCTTGGGCGCCTATTGGGGCACTCTTGGGGCCGCCTGGGAGCTTCCTGGGGGCCTCTTGGAGGGTTTTTGGGGGCCTTTGAGGGCTTCTTGGGGGCCTCTTTGGCCGTCTTAAGGCATTCCTGGCTTGTCTGACGCCGTCGGAAGCCGTCTAGGGGGCCTGTCTGGGTCGTTAGACGTTAGAGGCCATCGTGGGCGTCTTGGGGGCCTCTTTGGCCGTTTTGGGGCCCTCTTGGGGCCGTCTTGGGGGCCTTTTGGGCCGTCATGGGGCCATTTTGGAGGCCTCTTGGGCGATCTTGGGGGCCTCTTGCGCCGTCTTGAGCCGTCGGAATGCCGAGAAGACGCAAATGCCAAAATCTTTCAAAGCCCTAAGGACACTCAATGATTTTGGCCTCTTCGTGCCCTCATGGAAGACCTCCCGGACGCCTTTTGGGCCGTCTAGGAGGCCTCTTGGGGGCCTCTTGGGCCGCCTTGGGCCATCTTGAGGCTATCTTAGGCCGTCTTGGGTGCGTCTTGGGCCGTCTTGGAGGCATCTTGGGGCCATCTTAGCCGTCTTGGAGGCCATTTTGGCCGTCTTGTAGGCCTCTTGGGCCCTCTCGGGGCAGTCTTGGGGTCCTTTTGGGCCGTCATGGGGCCATCTTGGAGGCCTCGTGGGCGATCTTGGGGGCCTCTTGGGCCATCTTGAGCCGTCGGAATGCCGAAAAGAAGCAAGTGCCCAAATCCTTCAAACACCTAAGGAGAATCAATGATTTTGGCCTCTTCGGGCCCTCCTAGAGGAC